ACACTTTATTGTTCAGCAAAGACGTGATCGAATACTTACTTTGTCCACAAGGTATCCAGTTCAGAACACACCACCAGATGTTAAACATGGTGGCATGATGATATACATGAAGGAAGGTGATTTGACTGTTCTTCTTCCGTAGTACAAAGAAAATGGTGTCCATGAATTCAATTACTTTAGAAAAATAATACCACCACAACACCTTGGCCACCTATGAGAATGGGAGCAAGAGAATGACACGTTTGTTTAATTCATTCTTGCTTCAGCAGAAATTCCCACTGAAATCCTTCTCCCACTCATTAAAGATGGCAGGATTTGGCTGAGAATCTCTCCTTGTTCCTTAAACACCCCTACAGAATTCATCCTATTTTCATGTAATGACAATTTTGTAAATGGCTTTCCTTTGAAAATGCCTGATAAGCTAAAGGCAGGCAAGGTTCTGTGAGTAAATGTGATTATCTTTTATTAGATCAACTGAGTCGTAAGCTAAACTTTCATTGTGAGGGTTTCTAATTACTCTTCTAAACTATGTCAATATTGCCTTTGTACTTGGAAGCAGATTCTGCTTTCGGCCATGATAATGGGCAGCATAATGAACTAGGAGGAAGCTTGATTAACTAGGGCTGTGCGAAGCTTTGGTCCCTGATTTGATTTGGTGGAGATTTGGCCCGATTCAGTGGCCAAATCTCCAAATTTGAATTGAATCGGAGGACCCTTTAATCTCTCCAAATCGTTTTGGAAAGATTCAGAGATCTGGACATAGAGATAGCTTTAAATGTTTTTTCTACATACCTCTAAGTACCAGATGCAGCTCGTGAGTGCTGCGATGCTGGGGTGCATGTAGTGTCCCACGGAAGTGAGGGGGGCTCCCCAGCACGCTCAGCAGCAGACCCAAAAGTGGACCAGAAGCACTTCCAGGTCCACTAGAGAGCTCACAGGGCAGGCCCCCCTGCCATGTCCCCCTGGCTTGGTGACTGGTGCCTCCTGGGTCTGGAGGAGGCACCTGGGGTCCCTCTGCGGCCGATTTGCCGAGCTGGGGAAGTGCAGC